TGGGATGAATTCCCTTTGTCTGGCAGGAGGAGGAGGAGGGAAAGCACGGCCGAGGTGGGGGAGATGTGATCTCTAGGTCAGGGAGGTGATTGCCATTGGCATCCCGAGGTACTGCAAGGAAAATAATCCCTTTTTTTTCCCTTTTCCTGTGCCCTTGAGAGCTCTGTAGGAGAGACTGCTGTGCCTTGTTAACTCAAGGTTGAGGCAGGCTATCCCAATCTCTTCCTGCCTGGTTTTCCATTTTCCCAAGTTTCAGCTGTGGGAGAAGAAAGAGGGAGTATTTCCTTTTATCCTGTTTATGTGATTGTGGTAATTACATAGGAGAACCCTGTCCAGAATCAGGAGTTACAAACTCAGAAGTCCCCAAGTGGAAGATTCCCAACCCATGGAAGATTCCCTTCCCATGGCAGGGGCTTGCAACAAGATGAGCTTTAAGGTCCCTTCCAACCCAAACCCATTCTGTGATTAAAAATTTTTTAAAATAATAATTTTGCTGCATGAAGTCTGACACTTCTGAAAATTCTCCTCTTTATTTTTTCAAAGTCTCTGTTCCTCAATAGTTTAATTCCTTTCCTCAAATCTATTTGCTGGATCTTGTGGACTCAAAGGAAAGGAATGCTTCGGTTATTCCTGTGTGTGCCTCAAAGGCCTCCTGGATGAGCTGCATGTCCAACAGCTCAGAAGTGGTGAAAAGGCACCTTTGATAGTTCCATGCCAATAAACTTCAGAAGGAATTTCAGGTGGCAGCTTTCCTGAAGGATTGAGGTGGATTGAGTGATGCATGAGATGCTGGCGGGTATTTTTCCAGTAATTGCCGGGAGAATCTTTTAGCCTAAATAAGGAAGTTTCACCTGGGCTTTGCCCATGATTTCAGCAGATGTTTGATCACCAGGATGGTCATTCCAAGGGCCAGATGCTGGAGGCCAGCTTGGACAGGGCTTGGAGCAGCCTGGGACAGTGGAAGGTGTCCCTACCCGTGGCAGAGGGTGCAGTGGGATTAGTTTAAGGTCCCTTCCAACCCAAACCATCCTGGGATTTTGTGATTTTCAGTGAAGGCTCAGGATAACTGTTGGCATTCCTTGCTTTCTTTCTGTGCCCATGAGCAGGGAGCACGAGCTACGATCCAACAAAACGAGATTGGGATTTCTTGCCTGAAGCCTGAGGCTTTTTGATGTGCTTGGGTTGAACTAGAGGCTTTGGCTTTGGACCGAACTGGGGGTAAAATGGTTTTTATTTGGGTTTTGCTTTGATGTTCAAACAAATCTGAACTGTTGTGTGAAAGCTGTTTGGAATAAACTTACGAACCCCGTGGCTGATATCATCTTATAGGTCTGGAAAAAGGGCAGTAAAGGATCAGAACCTGAGGGTTTGTGTTTAAAAAACCCCAAAGAATCATCCTGGAATGGTTTGGGTTGGAGGGGCCCTTAAAGCTCATCCCATTCCCAGCAATTCTCCTGGGGCTTGTACAGGTGGCAGAGGCAGAACCCAGTCCTGCCCTCACTGCTCTGCAGGGAAAATTGTGGTTTCTTAAATTCCGTGTTTTCACTGCCCAGCTCTCAATCCAGGGAAAGGCCCACTCCATCCTTCATTTTCATCCTTCATTATCTTGCATTTTGTGTAAAAGGAGTACATGTTAAAAAACAAAGTGGGAAGAGATCCTTGCAACAACGGGGTGAAAAATCAGGTGTATAAATAGATTGGACATTCTGCTTCTTCAAAATGTTGAAATAGAGTTGTTCTCACACTCTTAATTAGTTTTGCCCATAAATTAGTGTGTCTTTGAGAACAATTGTCTTTCCTATGTCAAAATGTCTGTGTTTTCCTATAAAGAAATGTGTTTTTCTTCCTTGTAACCCAGTTACACGATTATTTCCAAATGTTAGGGAAGCTAAGACTGAAATCCTTCAGCCTGCCTACATTTATATGGATGAAGAGTTAACAAGTTGTAGGAGCAGCCTTGCCCTAGGTTTAAGTGCAAGATATTGTAATTTTTGTCCATCCTTTCTAATATAACAGGCAAAAAACCTGTGTGAAACACCATCTTTAGTGGTATCACAACAATTCCTTCCATGGTGGCCCCATGGAACTTTTCACCCCTTCAATCCCTGCTACAGAGCGCAGGGCTGATGTTGGAACTGTGGTTACTGAGAATTTTACATTTTTTATATTGATAGGTATTGATTTTTAAGAGAATATTGTGTTTGATTTGAGGCTGTAGAGAAACCATTATAGAGAACACTTTTAAAAATAGACATGTATGTGTTAATTGTTGTCATAGTATTTATACCTGGTCTATTTCAGTATATCTGACAGGGATTTAACAAAGCTCTCAGAACAGTGTCCATAATTCAGACAGGAGGGGTTCTGTTGGAACCCTGGTGCTGGGAATTTCAGAGTTTCTGTGCTGCCAGGTGCTGACCCCCAGGAGAACACTGCACTGACCTGAGGCCCTGGAGAACCTTCCAAAATGGAATGAGAGAACTGGGATTGTGGCTGTGCAGTTTGGATAGAAGTGTGTGATATCACAGGGTGGAGAACAGAGTTTAGGGTTTAGAATATAGTGATATATAGGGAGCAAGATGGAGGCTTTAGGGTAGAGGCTGGTCCTTCTTCATCTTCTTTTCCTTCTTCACCTTCTTCTTCACTTTCTTCTCCATGGGTTTGGGTGGTTTTGTATAATTGGATAAAAAGTCCACACTGCAGGCATGGGTGGTTGGTTATTGGGTTAAAAGTGAAAATAATTGAGGCGTCATTTCTTAATTGGACAGTTTATCCTTTAAATGCCTTGTAGAGAGAGACACAGCCCCATTTTTAGTGTGTCAGAGTGAAGTGCTGCATTGTGAGACTGTGACAGAGATAAGAACTGATAAACACCTGAGTCCCAACAAGAAATACCCTCTCACACATTTAATCCCGACCTTACAAAAACCCCCAAAGGATCCAGGCAGGCTGAAGCTGTTCGGGGCTGGAAGGAGCTGCCATCCCAGCCTGGCTCCTCCAGGAGCTGCCTCTGGCTCTGGGGAGTTCCTGGTGCTCCAGGGCGCTTTTCCACCCTCCCTTCCTCACCTCCCCACTGGGGCCAGTCAGAAGCAGCAAGGCAGACACCAGATAATCTCCCCAGCCCTGGGGATGTGCCCTGGAGGGTGGTGATTACCTGCTCAGGAGTCTAAACACGCAGATGGGAGCACTTAGCACTTAGCGTCATCTAATCCCTTTTTCTTTCTTTTTTTTTTTTTTTTTTTTGGAAAAATGCTGCCCCAGTTTTGTCCTGATGTGAAGAAACCTGTTGTGGCAAATTGCACTAATTCAGAGCTCAGCTTAGCAGACTGAAATGGAGCTAATAGCTCAGAGAGAAGCACAGCCAGGGGCCTCGTGTGCCTCCAGAGTGCCTCAAACCTTATTTTCAGGGCCTGGTTCGGGTTAAATGTCATTTAAGGCTGGGCTTGAGGTGTTTTGGTGCTCGGGATGTGAAGAGTTTTCATGTGTTAAGTGGGGGGCTTGGGGACTGTGGCTGCTCCTTCTTTCAGCTGGCAGCTAAGAAAATCCATTTTATGGAATATCCAGAGCTGGAAGGACCCACAGGATTGTGGATCCAGCTCCTGGCCCTGCAAAGACCCCCCAAAATCCCACTCTGGGCATCCCTGGGAGTGCTCTCCAAACCCTCCTGGAGCTCTTGGGAATGTGCCCATTCCCTGGGGAGCCTGGGCAGTGCCAGCACCCTCTGGGGGAGAACCTTGCCCTAAAATTCACCCTAAATCTGCCCTGGCACAGCTCCAGCTGCTCCCTGGGTCATGAGATGGGAGCTGTCCCTCAGGAGGAGGCTCCAGGCTGGGATGAGGCTGCCCTCAGTCTTTTCCCCAGGCTGGACACACCAAAGTCTCTTTGCCTGTGGTTTGTCTGGTAACATTCCAAATCCACAGCACAGAAGGGAAAAATTCTTTCCGTTTCAGGAAGGACTTTTGCTGTGGGTTTTTTATGTTTTTTTATGGCTTTTCCTTGGTTTTTCCTTTCAGAGCATCAGGTGCACGCTCAGGTCCCAGCACTGCTGTTTTCTGGCTGGGATCCTTTTTCCCTTGGAAGTTCACTGTCTCCATCTGTTGTACCTGGCTGGAGAAATGAAACATCTTCCCAGGCTCATCCTTGTTCCTGTAATTCCCACCTTGGACTGTGTGGGATAATCCCCTCCTGTTTCATTAGCAGCTGCTGGATCCCAGCTGTCCAGGAAAACGTGGCTGCTCCAAAACTGGAGTTTGCTCCCAGGGCAGCTCCTGTGCCCATGCTTTAAAACCAAGCCTACACTCCAAAACCCCAAAAATTAAGATTACAGTGGTGCCTCCCTCTTTGGGAAGGTTTAGGGCAGCTCATCTGCCTCACGTGGATGTAGAGTCAAATCCAAGGGTGTTTATATCAATATATAAAAAGGAATGTCCAGTTTATTAATAAGACCCAACAGCAGAGATTCTGCAGAAGTCAAGGAAGCAGAATGTCCAAGCAAGCCCAGGAGATCCTGGCACTGCAGCTGCTCCTCTGGGATATCCATTTTTGGGGCTGAGGAATCTCCCCGTGCAAAGCTAATTCCAGCCTGGGGCTGCTTTCTGTTCCTCATAATTATTTTATTTTTCTGAGATTCTTGCGACACTGCCTGATACCAATCTAGTGTGATAACATTGAAAATCCACAGCACAGAAAGGAAAAATTCTTTCTGTTTCAGGAAGGACTTTTTCTGTGGGCTTTTATGTTTCATTTTGTTGTTTCTTTATTTCAGCTTTTATTTATTTGTGTGTATATATATATATACATGTAAATATATGTGTGTGTATATATATACACGTATAGATATTAAATTATATATATATATATATATACACATATATAAATTGTCTCTATAACATTTCAGAATTTTCTTTTTGGCTTCATTTCTTCAAATGAAGAAACAGAAATTCCTATCTTTCCTATCCTTCCCTGTTACAATTCTCACATTTGGAGAGATTTGTGAAACCATGGCTAAAAAATTGACCGTGGCACCAATGATCTCCAATGGAGAAAACCTTAAAATAGATGTTTATAAAATTCATGAGGTATCAAAGAGCTGCAGATTTACAGCTGATCTGCACAGACTTGAAAATCTCTTTTCTGTGAAGCAATAAGTGAAGTTAATAATTACAGCCCAATTAGACCAGGAGAGTGATGTGTGGAGCCAGGTAGGATTTCTCCTTCACTGGTTACAGGAAATGAGAGATTTGGGGTGCAGGGCTGTGAGTGTCCTTTGACCTGCACGCTCTACTACAGGTGGACAAAATACTCAGAGTAGTGAGGTTTTGGTTGAACCATCCTGCTCATTTAGCTGAAATCTGCGGTTTTTTCCTTTAGGAGGCAGAGATGAAGGGCTGTCATTGCCTCCTCGAGTGCCCCAGGCTCTGTGAACTCTGTGCTAAATCAAATGGAATTTGGGGCTTCCACTGTCCCAGAGTGCTCCAGCCTGGCCTTGGGCACTTCCAAGGATCCAGGAGCAGCCACAGCTTCCCTGGGAATTCCAGCCCAGCCAGGAATTCCCAGTTCCCAATCTCCCATCCATCCCTGCCCTCTGGCAGTGGGAGCCATTCCCTGTGTCCTGTCCCTCCCTCCCATGGAAATCATTTCTCTCCATATTTCCTGCAGCTCCTTTAGGTGCTGGAAGGCCACAGTGAAGTCACCCCAAATCTTCTCCTCTCCAGGCTGAGCATTGCCAACTCCCTCAGCCTTTCCTCGTGGGAGAGGTGCAGGATAGTCCTTGTGGATCCCTTCCAAGTCAGGATATTGTAACCAAACAGATGAAATTTTCAAAATCAGGACATAGCAGTTTACATTATTTATGGATTTGTCTTGTAGGGAATCAAACCACAGCTCCTTTGTTTTTGTTGTTTTTGTCCCTTTGTGTCCCTCCTTGCCAGCTGCAGTCACTCCTGCCTGTGGCATTGATTGTTTTGAACCAGCTCCTCACATTTATTTATCCCTCCCACCCACCCACCTGCCAGGTCTGGGAGCCTCAGTTCCTGAGCTGTTGTGAATTCTCCAGGGAATGCTGGAGCAGCCTTGACTCCCTTTCCTGACCAGCCCTGGCTCAGAAATGCCCTGGTGGTTTGACAAATGGTGGCTGGCTGGTGGCAAAGTATTGTTTGCTGTGGTTTGAAGCCACATTTCAGAGGTAGAGAAAAATATATCACTTAAACTTCCCAGCAGAGGAGGAAAAGGCCTTTGTTCACATATTTCAGTGCCACAGGATTTATTTTCCCCTGGCAGAACTTGGTGAGCCCTCCAAGAGCAAGTTCCATAACAGGATAATAATGAGATGTGGATTTTTGATACAGAGAAGTTTCTTTCCTCTTCTTCTTTTTACCAAAAGGCACACGGGGTAACTGAAGTCACATCAGACACTTTAAATGCATTTTTGCTGGGTTATGTAACAAATGAAAGGAGCAGAATTTGTCTTTCTGCATCAGAATTTGGTGCATCGACTGGAGCCAGCTGGGACAGCAGATCTGATCTGATCAAAGGCATTTTCCACTTCATTTCCATACCTTATCTTGTCTGTCTCAGCAATAAAACCTGAGGATTTGGTCTTTCCAAAGAGGGTTTTTACTCAGGGAATGGTCAGGCATTGATGTGCTGCTGGGAGAGGATGAGTGATTGCCTTTTGCTCTTGTTTTATTTTAAATAATTTTTTAAAACTGCATTCTGCAATGGGATATTTTTGTCCCATAACTGATCACCCGAACCTCTTACTTTGTATTTAGGCTGCTCTTGGGTTTTCAGACCTCAGACTCTCACCCCTTCCTTGCAAAAGGCCTTTCAAGGCTTCAGGAATTGCAGCTGTGGGGTGGGACGGTGCCTCCCCAGAAGCTGGATGACAGAACAGCCCTGGGATTGAAAGGAGCTGTGTTTTCCCTTCCTTTTCAAAAAGCCCAGGGCAAACAGCAGCTCCTCTGATGCCTGAATTCTATGAAAAAATACCCCAAGAGCTGCAGCGTGGCTCAGGTTTTAACCTCAGGTCAGCAGCTGGAGTCAGAGCTCTGTAAAATCCGTGCAGGAATACCACAGGAGTGGGAGCAGAGAGCCAGGAAGGACCAGGGCCACTTGGAGCTGGTTTTTAGGGTTGTTCTGTCTTGGAAAAAACCTGTCCTGTGGTGTCCAAACCCCAGAAAATGTCACTGGACACGTGAATTTATTTATTCACACACCCTTTGTGTGCCAGGGGAAGCACAGTTAGGGACAACCCTGGGATTTCAAGGCTGGGTGCTGTCAGTGATGGAGACAGAGAAGACTGGCAGGTGATCAGAATCCAAATTTATTGTGGGCTACCAATGCTGATCCACCGTTTTGGGAGCCTGGTAATGGTTACTGCATTGACTGGGTTAAAATCACATACACAAACTTGTGCATTTGAAACTTCTCTTGCTTGCAGAGTTTAATGACATTTTCTTTTTCTGGTAAACCAGTCTGGTTTAATCTTCTTGCAATCTTGATTTAATTCTCCAAGTTCTGTTTGCTCTTGCCAAGGCATTTTGTCTGTCAAATCTCTGATGTTAACCAGGTCCAAAGTCCATCATCTCTCTTGTATGTCCCAGTATCCCAACAGATATTACTGAGATTTTACACTCAGTTTTTACATAAATTTTGAACAATTTTTCAGTCTATAGACACAGACATCTATCTACACTTGGAGCTGGTTTTCAGGGTTGTTCTGCTTCGGGGAAAAAAAAAAAAAAAACAACCTGTGCTGTGGTGTCCAAACCCCAGAAAATGTCCTTGGACACGTGAATTTATGGATGAACACCCTTTGTGTGCCAGGGGAAGCACAGTTAGGGACAACCCTGGGATTTCAAGGCTGGGGGGATGCACTGTGGACAACCCAGAGGTACCCTGCAGATGATTTTAGGCAGCACAGGAAGAGTTTCCTCTCCTTTCCTTGCCTGGGGCAGCCCTGAGAGGAGAACTGGGGAATGAATTCAGCGATTGCTCTGGTGCAAAACCAGCAGCACTAAAACACAACCCTGGTGGCAAAGCCCAAATGCCCCAGCTCAAATCTCGCTTTTTTTACCTGATCACTGCAGAGAAAACTGAAGCAGCTTTACAGCAACACCTGGGCTGAAAGCAGGGCTTGAAAGGATTTTTTTTTCTGCTTTTTTGTATAACTAAGAAACAGGAACAGCTCAAGAGTTGCGCTGTGGCTGCTTTTAGCTGTGTTGACTTTAAAATTGTCTGGAGTGCCAAGTTTCATGTTTCACCTCCCGCATGTGCCCGGACATGTGGTTTAGCACATTATCCCCAACCACTGCAGCCTTTTTTTTTTTTGTGGGAGCACCGCAGGAAAAACGGGGCAGTGCGGTGGCAGGGAAAGCAAAGCATTCCCTCCCCAGCCACAGTGGATTATCTGGGGAATAATAAACTGATAACATTCCTCAGGCACAGCAAAACCCTCTCAAAGGCACAGGGGAAAAAAAAAAAAATAAAGCACAAAGCGATTTAAATGTGAATTGTAGCATCAACACCTCACCTGTTACAGGCACAGGGAGACAGTCCATGATCTTATCTAGGGTGGTTAACCACAGGCAGGGTTGTAAACATGGATTTAACCAGTTAAGACAATCCTGACAATGCAGGGAAGATCTCGGCTCCCTTTATTTTGGCAGCTAAGCACGCAAGTAAAAATTCCTTTGGCAATTAAACGTTCTTCTTAGAAGAGTTTATTGTGTAATCGCTTCACTGTGGTGGTTAAACTACTCACAAAGCCACATAGAGAAATGTATTTTTAATAAATATATATATATAATATTTACTAATAAATCTATATTATATATAGAAATAATATATTTCATACAATACATAACATACTTTCATATTTTTATACTCTTATATACTTTTTATATTTAAATAAATATGTACTTTTAAATTTTTATACATTTCTTTTATATTTTTATACTTTTATATACTTTTTCTATTTTTAATAAATATACACTTTGCACTTAGCTGGGTATTAACTGAGAAGAAAAAACCTGGCTTCTATCCACACAGAAGAAAGGAAACTTTCTGTGGGAAGAGAGCTACAAATTGGATTTTCTGCCTCCTCACAGAGGCAACACCACATTTTTGGCAATATTAAAGAAAATGGGGCTATGGGTTTGAAATCCCCAAACCCTAGAAATGACATTATCTATTCTGAGAAGTCACCAAGCATCCACAGAACTCCACAATTAGAGTACCCAGGTGGAATAACATTCATAAAACAGCATTCATAAAATCAGATAAAATGCAGATTGGCAATATTATGTACCCCAAGTCTGAGTGATTACTCAAATAGATCCTGAAATAGCCTGGATTTTTGGATTAAACACAACCTGGTAACCAACTGGAACTAACCTGGTAACCCCACAGCTCATCCTTCCCAAGATCCCCAGGCCTCAGGTCAACCCAAAAGCCAATTTTTCCCCTCATTCCCAAATTCTCCTCTCAGAGCTGTCCCAGAATTAAAGCAGGGCTGCTCCAAGCAAGGAAAGGAGAGGACACTCTTCCTCCTCCCTCTGTGCTGCCAAAAAAATCATCTGCTAGGCACCTCTGGGTTCTCCACCCAGCCTTCAAAATCCTATTTTCAAAATCCAACCCTATTAGGATTGTCCCTAATTGTGCTTCCCCTGGCACACAAAGGGTGTTCATCAATAAATTCACGTGTCCAGTGACATTTTCTGGGGTTTGGACATCACAGAACAGGACTGTTCCCCAAGGCAGAACAACCCTGAGAACAAGCTCCAAGTGCAGATAGATGTCTGTGTCTATAGACTGAAAAATTGTTCAAAATTTATGTAAAAACTGAGTGTAAAATCTCAGTAATATCTGTTGGGATACTGGGACATACAAGAGAGATGATGGACTTTGGGCCTGGTTAACATCAGAGATTTGACAGACAAAATGCCTTGGCAAGAGCAAACAGAACTTGGAGAATTAAATCAAGATTGCAAGAAGATTAAACCAGACTGGTTTACCAGAAAAAGAAAATGTCATTAAACTCTGCAAGCAAGAGAAGTTTCAAATGCACAAGTTTGTG